CCATGGCTCCGACAACCCTGGTTTGGTGCTCGTGTCACATCCGCTTACCGGAAACAATTTCCTTTCATGGCGTCGGTCGATGATGATAGCTCTAGGAGCTAAGAGGAAGCTTGGCTTCATTAACGGTGAGATTCCTGAACCTGATGTTGATAGTGATGATTATGATGACTGGAAAAAGGTTGATTGGACGATTTTATCGTGGATATTAAGTTCTATGTCTAAGGAGGTAGCTGAATCCTTTGTTTATGCTGAAACTTCCAAGGATCTTTGGGATGAAGTGTGTATGAGATTTGGAGAGAACAATGGACCGATGAAGTATAAATTGCAGAGGGAAATCAATACATTAGTTCAGGGAAACAGTACAGTAATGGAGTATTTCAATAAATTGAAGAGGTTGTGGGATGAGTATGCATGTGTAGTTCCTATTCAATCCTGCAGCTGTGAAAAAGGAAAAATAGTAGCTAAAAATGAGGCTGAGAATAAACTCATACAGTTTCTTATGGGGTTAAGTGAAGGATATGATAACCTGAAAAATCAAATAATGCTGATTGATCCTCTACCAAGTGTAAACAAGGCTTATTCAATGGTGTTGAGTGCAGAAAGGCAAAGGTCTGTGAATAATTCTTTTGATAAGATTGACAGTTTGGCTATGAGTACCAGATTAGAAGGATATGGTAGAGGCTTGACTAATCAGGGAAGAGGCTTTGGTGGTAGAAGTGGAAACTTGATGAATGGAAGAGGAGGGAGAGGCTTTACCAGGCTCAGCAAAGAAGAAAGAGCAAAATTGATGTGTGACAAGTGTGGAATGAGGGGGCACACAGTGGCCACATGTTTTAAGATCCATGGAGTGCCTGACTGGTATAAAGAATTAAAGGGACAAGGAGTGAATTATGCTGGGAATGTGGATGCATATGATGATAGTGAAGACTGGAAGGATACTGTGAATGATAGAAGGAATTCAAAGGAGAGTGATCTGTCCATTGTAGTCAAGCAATTGCAGGAGATAACACAATTCATAAAAGGAAGGGATCATGGAGAAAGCAAAAGGGATTTTGCACAAATGGTGAGTTTTACAAAGAAAGAAAGTGATGATGAGATGCAATTTGCCTTAACCACTGCAGATCATGTCAGTTGTGATGATTGGATTATAGATACTGGTGCCAGCAAGCATATGTGTGGAGATTTGAATCTTATGACAGACACTTACACTTTAGGAGATTCAGTTGTGATTTGTTTACCTGATGGATCCAACAAGAGAGTGAATTCTGCAGGAGTGGTGAAATTAAACAGGAGCCTGACTCTACATAATGTACTTTTTGTTCCAGATTTTAAGTACAATCTGCTTTCAGTGAGTCAACTGTGCCTAGATGAAAAGGTTAAATGTTCATTCTCAGCTACCTCATGTTACTTGACTCACTGTGACAGTGGACAATTGATGGGACAAGGTTTTTCAAAGGGCAATCTATATATACTCAACAAGGAAGAGCCTGTGCATGTCAATAATGTGAAGCATAAGTTTTCATCTCAACAGTGGCATCAATGCCTAGGGCATGCAAGCATCAGCACAATGAGACATCTTCAGTTTCTCAAAGGAGGGTTTACAGCCCAGGATGAAAGAAATATTCAATCATGTGAAATCTGTCACAAAGCAAAGCAACACAGACTCCCATTTCAAAACAGCAGTATACATGCCACTAGAATCTTTGAGATGGTGCATGCAGATATCTGGGGGCCTTGCAAAGAAGAAGCCATGACAAATACATCATTCTTCTTAACCATAGTAGATGATTACAGTAGAGGAGTCTGGGTTTTTTTGATGGATCAAAAGTCAAAGGCATCAAAGTTGCTTAGTGAGTTTATTTTAATGGTGGAGACACAGTTTGATACAAGGGTCAAGAAGGTAAGGACAGATAATGGAAAGGAGTTCTTAGGACATGAAATGCAGTCCTTCTATCAAAGAAAAGGTATCATTCATGAGACCAGTTGTGTGTACACACCACAACAAAATGGTGTGGTTGAGAGAAAGCACAGGCAGCTTCTTGAAATTGGGAGAGCATTGATATATCAAGCTCAGTTACCTCTAAAGTTTTGGCCTTATTCTATTCTGACAGCAGCCTTCATTATAAATAGGTTGCCTAGTGCTCTCTTGGGTTGGACTACACCTTTTGAGAGGGTTTATGGAAGATTGCCAGATTATAGCAGTTTAAAACCATTTGGCTGTTTATCATATGCAGCAAATGTCCACCCATTCAAATCAAAATATGAGCCCAGAGGAAGTAAATGCATTTTTCTTGGTTATGCACCAGGAAAGAAAGGATTTCAGCTTTATAATATGGACACTGGGGAATGTTTTATATCTAGAGATGTTGCTTTCTTTGATGACA